TGCTTGCCCTCGGGAGCTTGCTACCAATCGTTGTAGAGGCCGGAGTTTTGCCTCTAGATGAGGCCCTGTACTTTATGCAGAGGCTTGAGGAGTTTCTGGGGCAAGCGCTGCCGGACCCTTCAACTCTGGCGTTTGCTGGTCTGGCTCACTTGACCCAATCCTTGCTTCCACTATTGTTGCTGCTGCAGCGGCCACGGCAGAAACGATCAGGACGCACTCAGCAGCAGGTTACAGAGTTGCAGCGCTTACTTTTGCATTTCGAAGATGTTGTGCTGCGGGCACTGGCAACACCAGCAGTGGGGGCTGTCTCCCAGCTCTCCAGGGCCTTTACTGCCGCAGCCCTTATAGGCGCCCCATTTGTGTTGCAGCCGCCTACTCATGCTGCAGCAGCACAGAGAAGCGCTGGAGCATCGAGCCTTACCTGGCCTTCCTTTGCGTTGTGCGGCCCGGACATGTCACAGGGCAACACCACCAATCAGCATCCTCAGGAGTGGCAGCAGCAAATGCGCCACCAACAGGGGAAACAGCAGGATGCGTTCGGAGCTGCGTTGGATCGTCTGATAAATTGGCTCTCTGGAAATTCTGCAAACGCTTCTGTTGTCTCATTCGGAAATGCTCACGCAGCACAGCCAGCAAGAGGGCAGAAGAACAGATATCCCGACTTAGCGGGGAGTATGGTGCTGAGTCTGCTATACATGCAGCTCACGAGCCACACAGCAGAGGGTTCCTTGGCTAGCTTACCTGAGAAGAGCTTGACACGTCTAGCTCTTCAACACTTGTTGCAGATACGGGAGGGGCAGGAGCTCTTGTTCCCTGAGGGAATTTCCTCTAGTGGAGCGTGCTTGCTAGACACTGTTAGTGGCACTTCTGCACCGGGGAGCGCTGCTGCAGTTGTGGACTTCTCAGCTTTCCAGGAACTATCTGAACTTCAGAGACACGAAGAGGCAGCAGTGAATGATGTTGCAGAGGCGTTCGGCTGGATTGGTCTGCTCGGAAGCAGGGGGTGCCAAAGGGAAGCTAGCGGGGCTAATGGGCTTCCCGTGCCTCACTGTACATGCTTGCTAGAGGCTCTGTCGTATCGTGGAATTCCAGCCTTTTCGGAACTACAGCTGAGTAGAAGGCTAGCTCTGCTTTTTTCCCGATCGTTGGAAGCCACCGTTGCCTCTCTTGCGGAGCTAGCTGCCTCTAAGGGTGGCGGTTTGCGGCAGCAACCCACAGCTGGCGCTAGCCCTGATAATGCGAAGACGGAGTCGCATTCCAGACTTCATCAATTGCTGCGGCAGCTACAGTCGTGCTCTTCTCTTCAACTTGGCGTCCTGAGGTTTTGTTGCAGACACTGCGACCGTCTACCCCAGCTCGCTGCCCTGTTTGTACGGTTCGCCTATGCAGGCTTCGGCGTCGCAGCTGCTTCTGCACAGTGTCAGCAGCAGCAGCAGCATTGCCACAGCCAACGCCGATTTACCTCTGCCATGGCATGCTATTTCTTTGCGCTGTTGCCAGTTGCGGCTGGGTCACTGAGCCCCAGGGATGTTACATCGTTGGTAGGATCTGTCCTGCTTCGGGGACTAATGCCACCCTCGCGGGAGCCTTTTCTATGGTGCAGCGCCCTGAATGCTCTCCGCCGGATTTTCCAGAGCGCTCGCCGGAGCGTGTGCTGCAGTGGTAGAGAAACGCAGCAGCGCAAGCGGTGGGAGCTGCAGCAGCAGCAACGACAGCAGAAGCGAAGGCGTTTTTCTCTTGTTGAAAGCGAGACACCCTTGTACGTATTTCCGTCTGTTTCGTACAAGTTGTGTTTCTTTAGAGAGCTCCAGAAGCTCATGCTACTGTGGGTCATACCGCTCTTAACTAATACGGCTGTCATGAATTCTAGCCAGCGGCCAGCAGCTTCATCTGAAGCAACGCCACAAAGATATTATGCAGAAGGGCTGGCTGAGTCACAGTCAGCAACACTGGTTGCAGCAGCTGCAGCAGCCCGAGCTGTTCCATTCGCTGTTTGGGGTACCGCAGCAGAAGCCCTTGTTGCATTTTTGGAGCTTCGCAAGGATTGTCAACTAGTGCAAGATGCACTTAACGGAGAAGATGTTGCCTCCCTGCCAACAGCTGAGTTGCGGAGCCGGCGTCGTCAGCATTTCGAGCTTCAGAAGGAAGAGGAATTCAGGCAGTTAAGGAGGCAACTGTGTCTTCTTCCTGCACATGTCGTGGTGTATCTGGTGATTTCCGGCGCTGCGCCCTTGGAAATTCTCCATGAGAAACGCAAACTGTTGCTGAATGAGGACGAGAAATTCGGCGAAAACAGGTTTGTCTTTCCCGTAGAACAAGATAATGCAACAGGTGCCGGAGTGCCACCTTGCAGACAACTTTCAGGAGCGGAGGAGGCGGACATTGAACCTCTCAGGAGTGAAGACCATCTGGCAACTGAGGTGGCGGCTTTCTGCCACGCTTGCTCTTGGCTGCCGATAAAAGATCAACTCGAATTCCTGGAAGCGTTTGCCTGCAGCAGCAGCAGCAGTAAGGCTTCCGACGGCGTCACAGTGTCTGCGGTGCGCTGTTTTCTTGGCTTAGTGACCCTTGCTGCGCACATGGTGGCTCCGCACTCTGCTGCATTCGTTCTCCCAAACGTTGCAGGCGCGAAAAGTTTTTTGACTGCAGGCCGTAAATTCTGCGGCAGTGGTCATGTTGCACACTGCCCCGTGGGAGTTGCCGCTCAGTCCGACTGCGCGTATGTTTTGCTGCGGAATTCTGGAGTATCTGAGCTTTCACTTTGTGGGGAATTCGCTGCCTTCCCATCTGCTTGCTATGACGTGGCGGAACGCGAGGATTCTCTCTTTACGCCAGTAGCAGAAACACGGCTTATGTACACGTCACAGCATGGCATCAAGCATCTTCTGCTACTCCACCACCAATGGCTGTGCTCCACAGCTCGCGGAACCGCATTTCAACAGCGTTGTTGCTGTTCCTTGTCGTGCTTCTCGGGAAAAAGACAGCTGCTTCAGCTTGTGGCAGGTGCTGCAGGTGGCATGACTTCAGCGGCAGGCCAGTGTCTAGAGCCGCTACTGCTGATCCCTGCTGCTTTTTCAGGAGCTCGAGGGTTTTATTGTCTGAATTTTGCTCCTAACATATATTACCTCTCCTCACTAGTTTCTCAGCCTTTTCAACAGACCAGTGGTCTGCCCACTCCAGGAAAGCCCTCCAGCGCTCATACGGAGTCCAGAACTGCTGGCCAGTGCAAGGTCGATGCCTCTGCTCTATGTAGCGACCTTGCAGCTCAGTGCGACGCAGCGGAGCGATGGCAGAAGAAGGCCATGTATGGAGAAGAGTGCCACGAAGAAATTCTCCTGGAGCGCCGGGATGCCGTTCTAGTGCAAGCACACTTCCCATCATCCTTGATGGTGCAGGCAACGAGTTATTCCAACGGTATTAAAGGGCAAGGACGAACAGAGAGCGACGGCAAAGCCACGGCTGAAAAGCTGCTGGCCGCCGCAGAAGCACTGGCTCCCACTGTTGTACGCCTTTTGTATGAAGAAGCGCGGAGACGTGGAAAAGTTCCCCTTGCAGACAACTCACAGACGATTGACAGCGGAAATTCGACGAACTCCGTGGCAGAGCGGATTCGCCTTCTTGCTGTAAGACTCCAACGGTTACTTGGAGAAATACAATCAGCTGGAGGAACACGAGCTTGCACCTCACACTGAATTTTACTGAGAACTTACAGAAAGCCACCATTTTCCCATCATAAACTGCAACTGCACCAAGGTCGTATCCCTGTATAGACCTTCTGATGGGAGGACCGGAGACCGCAGAAGCCATATACTACTTGAATATGACGTTACCATACCTGTTCTTCATGACGGCTGCTGTTATTGCCGCACCTAGAATTTAGAAGCGCATCCCAAGCTGGTTATGTGCTTGCTTATCACGGTGACCATTTAGCTAGAGCGATACTTGTCTTTACGGTGACTCTCTCACATAGGCCACTGTTGGAGGTTTGATTACGTAAAATCACGCATGTAAGTGCTGGTAGCCGGCTCAGGACAAGTAAGAAGTTCCTGTATCTTGCTTCGGGGCAACTCCAGCATTGTGATGAAGCCCCAACTTCACGCGAATTCATCTGACACAATACATTGGCAAGTCTTTTGAGGGGCACGCAGAGTCTAATCTGCTTTGTCAGCCCATGACGACACAAACACAGCGTGTCATTAGCAATGCAAATTTTGGTTCCCCTGGTGAAGTATTTTGACTACACGCAGGCATAGGCGGTTCCCGCTAGCGCTTCAGCCGCGTATTGTAGCAGCTGATTTCCCATTTTCCCGAGTTGAATTCCCCGCTTGGCAGTAGACCAGCTGTTGCGCGTCTGAATCGTGGGACAACGTGTTGATTTCCGGAATTTCGGTCTCCAGTAGAGGCACTGCACTGACGCTACAGCTCTGGTAATAGATAGCAAGCGCTTGCATATTTGCGAGTGTAGGAACCACAACGGAATGTTAAACCCATGAAGCAAGCAGAGTTGCCCATATATAGGCGAAGCAGGCGGCGGCGCGCCTAGATGTTGCTGGTTGCAGCGTCAAAGCTATCACAGCACATATGAACAGTGGAATAAAAACCTACTGAGGCACTTCAGTAGGAAAGTGTACAAAGTCCTGCCTGCCTCACATAGAGTTGGCTTTTGCCTTCTCAAAATTGGCTGCTGCCCTCATAAAACTGGGTGCTTCCCCCTGTTCCACTGGCGGCAGCGGTTCAGCCCAGTGTTTGTGCAGATGCGTATATAAAACCTCCATAACTTGATAAAGACATTTCGACCTCTGATGGGCTCGGCACAACTTGCTCATGCAGACGTCTAAATTACAAAAGTACCTGTGGTTGTAGAAGGACTCACGGCAAAACTACAATCCAAGGAGCTTTTGCAGAGGTTGGATAGGACAGTCGTTAATGCCACAGTCTGTCTCCAATAACCGTGACAGAAAGCCACTCTTAAAGCAGCTGCAACGTGCAAATCTCGAGTCTTAGTTTTGTGGGGCGTCTCCGTATTTTGGCATTTCCTGACGAATGAGTGCGCATGTTCCAGGGTCTTGAACTGCACCACCAATGGCGTTGTGGAGATCCATGCTCATGTCCTCCATATAATAGTTGTGAGGCTTAACTAGCCAACCCAGTGTGTTCCCCTGAGCTAGAGTCAAGGGCATGTCTTCGACGACAGGAATATGCCAGACAGCGCTTGAAATCCAAGTGACCAAGTCTGCCTTCCGAATAGTCTCGTTGTTCTGGCGTCAAATCACACAGAAACACTGGACCGTTCTTGAGGGGAATTTGGAAACAGGAAAGCATTTTAGTGACATTTTAATCCTCCCAGTAGAATTTCGACATCTTACACTAACCTAGCAACTACAAGAAGGCACACTGGAAATAGTGCTAGCTGAAAAAGATTCGTGACGGCCTCGTGCGCCAGAGTCGCATATGCATTCTTTGTCCAGGGGTGAAATGGTTCGAGGGCTATCCACTTTGACCTTACTCTCAGGTATCTGTCAAGAGACACTGCCGGTTTGAGAGCGTATTTGTTGTCTCTAGGAAGAGTAGCTTCCGATTCGTCGGGATGCCTGACAGTCGTCGCCACACGGTACTTGGCCCAAGCACACGGCCCCGTATACAACTCGAACTGGGGGTTTGGGATCTGCGAAAACACCAGTGACCACAGATTTCCGTCATTCAAATCATTTCAAAAGAACTGCAGCCAGCGTGCACTGGAGTCGACTGGAAAATGCTCGTACAGTATGAGTAAGAATCACAATTGGCGCAAATCGCATGTGCACGAGACTTACCGCAACAGTTGGGTACGGCAGTACAGTCATACCACCGACATTTCCGTAGACATTATGGTCTTCATTGACGATGGTGTAGTGGATGGGCCTCGTGCTGTTGTACGCAATGTAGCCATCAAGCTCTTTCTCCCCAATCCACTGGTCAAGCTTAATGGCACCTGGTCTCGCGGTATCGTGCACAATTTCACTGAAGACGACCGAATTACTACGGTAGTCTGGGGTAAGATCAAAGTCTACTTTCCAAACCGCGAGATGGCCGTGAAGGGCGCCCATTCTCATTGAGCCACTCACTTGTGTTCCGTGACGCCTTTGACGGGCTGAGTACCATGGCACCTCTACACCAGCATATAGCTCTCCAGTGAAGGACACTGAGGCCTCAAACCAGCCACTGACATGGAAGTAGTAGTCGGTGATGTAGTCGTAGTTACTGACGGTAATCATATGTCGCAGGACAAGAGCCATATGGGGTGCTCCATCACGGAGGGTACCACTCTTCCAGTGGGCCCTAAGAGGGCGGGCAAAATCCTTCTCAAAAATGCAGAGCGATCCACCATCAAACAAGAGCTGCCCTGTTTTTGCACACTCAATACCAGGATGCAGACGCCGAGATGCGGACCCCAAGCCACCATACCAAGAGTCGATGAAGTACCAGTTGCGCTCAGCCACAGAATAATGTGCCAACGCTTCCATCATACCCATCTCGAAGACAACACGTTGGCCTTGGAATTTGATGTCCCACAGACGAAGAGCCGTGTCGCGATCCATGTTTATAACGAACTCCCATCCTGCATAGTTTATAGTGTAAGACTCCTGACCAGGAGACTGGCGGATAGTGTAGCGCCTTCCTTGTGGCTCGATGTGCTCGGGAGCTGCACGGTACTCCAACCCCACGCGACCCTCCGGATTGGGAGCCAACCATGCAGGAGCAAGGCGGCGAAGGGCAAGTGCTCTTTCTTTTTGAATGTTGTGTTCTTGCTCCTGGTTTTCCATCTTTCGTCGCTCTTCGAGTATCTCAGGGGTCACTTTTTTGAAGTTTTTTCCCGTTCTGTAGGCCTCCACAAACTCGCGGAGTGTTGAGAACTGTTGGCCATCATACCAATAGCCTTTTACTTTGTCGAGCTTAAATGTCAGCTCTTCCCTGTCATCAGGTTTCTGAAGAACCTGCGCATCTACACCTTCTGGCGCGGGGAGCAGGAAGTAGAAAGGAACCTTATCTCCAGTGGGCGTCCGGAGGCCTGCCCAAATAGTGATTATCTTCTTGTCATCTCCTTCCTCGTAGAGCATTGGCCCAAATTCAAGGCAGCCTTCATGATGCTCTTTATGGGATTTTTTATGTTCAAACTGGCAGCGTGATTTGCCGAATCCAAAACCGAATGACTCCTGTAGGATCTCTGCTAGCTCCTCTTCTTCATCTACTGCCAGCAGACGCCGTCCAAAAACACCTTGTGGATTATATCCGCCACAGTCGGTCGGCACAACAGCACCAACGGGCTCCAGTGTCATCTGATCGGCGCTGCGCACGTCTAGAGGGCCCACTTTGTACTGCCTGTAAGCTCCCTCCCTGTCCTTGCAGGTTCCGACACGAACGCGCGCATACCTTCTAGGAGCTGGACCGCCTTTGTCAAGGTGCTCAATTATCTTTTCTTTGTCTATGAAGAGGTTAATACGATACACTCCTTCAATGTTAAGGTTGCGTTGCCTTCCCATAAATTCACGAACCAAGAACTCTTCTGTCGAAGTCAAGGGGTCGAATAGCGTGGGCTTATCAGCAACTTCCAGATCTGCAGGCTCTACAGGCATGTCACAGAATCGGCCGAATGAGGTCACCTCCAGTGCTTTAGCCCACATCTGAGCGTCCGTCATTTCGGCGCTTCCACCACGAGACGAAGCGAAGCAGTAGATTGTGTAGCGAGTGTTCGGGGGAACACCGCGAATCTCCAGCTCTGTCTTCTGGTCAGCATCTTCAATTTCAGTAGTGGCTCCTACGCGTCGAACATCTTCACGGCTTGGAAAGGCGCTGCCAGCCATGGCTGCACCACACCACACTTTTGCCGGAGTGTCCGCCTGGACAGTCACTCTAAATCCCTTCTGGAAAGCCTTGTACGACAATATGGAGAGCTCTGGCACCTTACTCTTTGTCTGCACAGAGAACGACAACTCCTTGACTTGGGAAAGACTGATGCCATTCCCCTTTGGCAGTGCTGCATCTTGTGCAAAGCAGTACACGGTGTAATGGTTGTCTGGGGTGAGTCCCGTGATGGAAAGAGCCTGAGGCGAGCCTTCTTCGCCGTGCAGAATCTGTATCTTATTCCCTTTTTTCAAAGCCTCTACGGAGGGTGGTTCCCCTCCAGCAGCAGCTTCTTTTTTCTCGTCTCTTGCTAAGCACCATACTGTGGATGGCTCATCAGATGTCAACCGAACGATGACATCATTTAAATGTGCTTCTGTGCCTTGGATAGAGAGGTTGGGAGGAGTGCTGTCCGTTGTGACTGCCATTCGGGAAGCAGCGACTTGCGCATCATCCATGCGTTCACGATGTGTTCCGTGACCACCGCCTGGCTCCGGAATGTTCGCCGTAGACGCTTCAGCGTAGCAGTAGACGTTGTAGGTTGTGCTTGGCATAACAACGCGGCGGCTGCCCGGTTTGTTGGCTATTTCCATACGCAGCACTTCACCTGCATGGCTTGTTGGGTTTTGAGACCGAATACCATATCGCTTCAAGATCTCTACAGTTGGGGGAGGAGTCCCAGACTGTGCTGCGCCACACCAGACGTAAGTTCTAGGTTCTGCAACCTGAAGCTGGATACCGATGCGATCCTCAGAACCCTCGACTCTCTGAATCTGCACAAGACCGATATTAAGTTTGTACTTCTTTTCCGTTCCATTGAAGTCTTCCCCAAAGGTTATGAGATCTCCAAAGAAACGAAATTCCAATCTTGACCTGTTCCACCCGTCGCCATATGAATCCCTTAGAACCACCGTGTAGCTGCCGTAACGGGGCACACAACAGGGCACCCAACGCCCTTGCATGCTGCTTAGTGAGTACCCTTTACCGGCGCAAGAGACTGCACCTTCAACAAACCATTGCTTGTCTTCAGCATAGTTACCTGTAAGCAGGCGAACCTCGCCGCAAATATAATCTTGTTGCGTCACGTCTCGTGAAATTTGCTCTGGGCATTTTCCTGACACGATCCGCAAGTCATCAATTGCAATGTCTCCCTTCTCGCTAAACCCAGCAAGTGCCTCAATGACCAGCTGTTGAGCGGTGTGGCCGTCGGAGCTGAACTCAAACCCAGCTTCTAGCCAGTCGTCTCCGTGGTCACCCACCCTCAAGAGATAAGGTTTGCCCCAGTCCCCGAGTGCTTCTGCGTCCCCTTCAAGTGTGCGCATGTACACCCTCAGTGAGTTAACGTCTTCTCCGTACATATGGTACCACATTCTGGCGCAGTAGAGACCCTTAGGGTAGATCTGAGGAGGGGCGAGAAGCGATGCACTCTCCCCAAGCATGTAACCAGGCGAATCCATGTAGAGGTAGTGCCCTCTCTTTCCTGGTCTTCGTCCTATTGTGTGGTCCGCAGATGGGCCCGTTCCAGCTGTTTCCGTTGCTCCGGAATGACGGCGCCACTCTAAACTCATGCGGGGATCAATCACGAAAGACATGAGCCCGCACATTCCCTCTTCAAAGTCGCAATTGAGCATTTCATCGCGAATGGCTACAAAGCGCACACAAAGGCACATAGCTTCATAGTTGCATGCCACCTCTCATGTTGCTACAGTATGCTGTTCATTTCAGCATCAGAAGTGTCTGACACATCGGAAGCGTTTGAAGATAAAAACTCAGTGGTGGACTTACTGACAGTGCCTGCACGGTAATGATAATCTTTCGCCGATGGGGCTTCACCGCGAGTCGCAAGATATGGAGAATAGCAAACGGTAAAAGTACTGCCTTGAATAGGTCCCAAGTCAAATACTGGCAGCTCTGTCTTCGCCTTTTGTGGCCGGATGTGGAAGTTGAAAGTCGCTGCTGAGGAGCTGGTAATGTGACGAGTGCTAGTGATGATTTGAGCATTGCGAAGGCTAGTTGGAGGGCAGTCTTCAATGCCTTTCAGCACAGCTATGCTATCTTCTGCTTGAAGACCGAAACCCGCCACCACAAGGCTGCATGGACGACTCGCGCGGCAGGAATACTGCTGGGACTGAACGGGAGAAACCTCCAGTAGAGCAGGGGCTCCTGCCCCCTCAGGTGACGTATCTAGCAGAAACGCGCGTTTTCCACCACCTGTGGGGCAGCTACCCCTGTCGGACATTTCCGTGGGCTCATGATCGATCTCGGTGTAGACATATGTCTTGCATTCTTGAGGTGCTAGCCGTCTTGGCAAAAGTCTCGTTGGATCGACGGGGCTAGTGCCCTCAAAAGAAGCTGCACAGCTTCCTACTGTGCTGCCAAGAATACCCCCGGCAAGCAGTGCCAAGGTAAAGAGTCGTTGGCGGCGTTCCGGGCGCTTCAGCGGCGCCCGCGGGAATTTCGTCATGGTGCTACGCCACAGGTACGCGATGCTGAGAGGTGATGCTTAGTACCCCGATAGTGCTAGCATGCATACAAATCTGATTCTCAGTACCAGCTCAGACTGGCAACAATGACAAAACTCTTCAAAGGTAGCTCCTCCAATGCGGCCTTACCCACGGAAGCGTTAGAGTGGCTGGTTCTCCACTTCAGCAGAAGAAGGAACGGCTTTGCGCTTGATCCAAAGACAGTACACTCTTCGGCGGCCTCCGCTTGCTTTCTCTCAGATGAGAATATTACGGCACTGTGCTCCGATGACCTGAATGACAGACTGCACAAGATACCATACAACTCCTCCCAACCCATCTGCCTGCCTGCCAGAAACGGGAGACTAAATAAATGGAATTTCATAGAAAAGTGAAGGTTTTGAAGGAAGGATGGTCAGAGTCGGGTAATGTTGTACACTGTCGTTGACTTCGTCCCAGCGCACGGCTGCTTGTCTGGAGACACAGTGGGCTCGTCGGGTCACAACTGGTGTATGAAACAAATGAAAAATAACGTGAAAAAACGTTTCGTGTTTTCTCTGAACAGTATTTGGAGGCTTCGGTTGGATTCGAGCATCCCGCAATTTTCACCTGGGGGAGGCGTGGGAGGAGACCCTCCTCTCGCCAGCAGGCGAGCCTGCATGTGGATCGGCGAGATGGAAGGGCAAAATACGGTGACTGATGCACCTGATCACCTTTTAAAAGGTAGGCTAGAAAGAAAAGGAAAATTAAATACTGTTGGGCCACGCAGCGCAGCTGCATGGACTGCTCGAAGGCGGGTGTCACCTGGCTAGGAACGACGGTGTTGGATAGGTAAGGGCGTCGAAAACCTACACCGGTCAATCATGTTGCTGCCAATGCCCTTGATGAATTTTCTCTTGATAACAATATGTTTTTATTGCCTCAATCATGGGTAAATGCTTTAAGGAAGCCCCATTTACTGCCACCAAAGCTAGCCCGGACCTATCTCACGGGGGCAACTTGGACGAGCTGTGTCGCTGCACGAAGAATACATGCGTTTTATCCCAATAATCTCCAATAATCTCCAATCGGCTTTCGAATGAGTTTTTAAGATGAAATCGAGGTTTACGTACTGGTTCTGGTGACTGGCACCATAGGATTGCAGTTCCTTGCGCCAGTGTCTCCACGCGTATCTCGTTCCCGGGCTAGACTCTTCCATTGTTTTCAAACGCCGGAAATCACACATACGCATACAGCCCCTCAAAGTAGCCGCGATCGTTGGCGCTACGTGTTGTTAGCCCTCCCATGCTACTTTTCTGCCCCACAACTGGCTGCGTGCAGTACGGCGACACAGCTCGTCCCGTGACAGCCGGACCACCAGCATTCTGCGGAAGGCTTGCCTAGACAGCACACCTCTGCGTCGCCACAATGTTGTAATACTCGTGTGCTGATGACGTCGTGAGTCTAGATTAGGAGACCAGCAGTCTAACCGTCAAAGCTCTGTCTGACCAATGTCGCACTCACTCCAAACGCCCTGCGACTGGCGATAAGTTCAAAAGTCATGTTCGGACTCGTGAATCAGTCCGCATCTGTCTGCCTGCCATCTTGCATGGCGTTCTGGACCAACAAAAGAGCAAACTTGCGCGGGACAAATGCTCTGAAATCCACGGCAAGTACCCAAAAACATATGCAGGAAATTGCTCTTCGCTAGGCTCAAATAATGAGGACCTGTGTGATCCGGTCCGTCGAACAGAGCAGGCAAGCGCGCTTCTGCTCAACGCTGTTCTGTGCGTTCCCATTCCGGGCGCAGGCAGTTTTCCACACCCCAGCTGCGCTTCTTCGACGTTTTCCATGGCACGCGCTGGAACGAGCTGGAGTTGGTTTCTTGCTTACGATGCAGCTACCGTGACTTGCTCAAGTACGCACTGGTGTGAGATCCGCTGGAGGCTGTATCTACATACGTGCAATCCAGCTTCCAGCATGGGTTAATGATGGAACATTTTGGGTAGCTACGGAGGCATCGTGGAACGAAAAGCGCTTCTGTCACGCCTAGCATGAGCAGCTGCTAAACCGCTGCGATGCCGAACGAAGATCCGCAGCTGCAATCGCACGCAAAAGCCAAACGCATCGCGGTAGACACTTCTAGCAACAGCAGATAGCAAAAGCATAGCGTGACACAAATTTAAAAAGGTTATCCACATCTTCTAAACGTATTTAGCCCTCACCTCCCAGTCTCTGGCGTTCGTCTCCTGCTTGGCTTTGATGCCCACCCGCGGCTGCCTGTGCTTCCCTGAAGCAGGCAAAAAAGCAAGAAGAAAAACATATACGTGAACTCGAAGTTCGTGTGTTGTTTGCCGATAAGACGGTTAGATTCCTTGCAGCTCAGAGACGTGCGCTTTTGGAGATATTGCATACTTGATAGCTATGAGCTCCCTTGCGACTGTTGTGAAGGCCTGAATAGACACGCACGTTGAAAAAATAGCCGTGGCCAAGAGGCAACAGTGCATATCCTAGAGCCACCTAAGCACTATCAGTCCAAATCCAGCTCACCAGGTCAACATTAATCGCCTCCTTGGCTGATGTCTCAATGAACGAAATCCCAAGGTCTTCTGCCTTTCGCTGTAAAACCCATGACATACGTCTCTATTCATCTGTGGCTTGTCCTAGGCTGAAAAGCGCGTTCTCTTATCTAGCAAACATGTCAGAAGGCATTCTCCGTGCAACTCACCCTAGCATCATCTGTAGCCACAGCACGGTCACTGTCCTTCTCGCTTTTGTTGCCGACAAGAATCTTAACAGTGTTTTCAGTCGCATACCTAGCAAGTAAATCAAACACCATCATGTGGAAGTGCTCATGTTCAACCTGTATCACAACGACGGGGTAAACTAATCCTGGTTACCCACCTAAGCAGGTCAGCTACCCAAGACTCACCGGTTAACCTCCGCCAGCCAGTCATCAACATGAGCAAATGACTCGGGTTCTGTGACGTCGTATACAACCACGATACCGTCAGCACCGCGATAGTAAGCGCTCGTAATAGTTCTGAAGCGTTCTTGGCCCGCAGTGTCCCACTGAGAAAAGCCACACAGATGCGCACGAGCTAATTTCAATGCTCTACGGTTGTAGGCAGGCACCACTATTCACCAGAAGCCTGTCCATGATGAAGTCATGGTAAGGCAGCTTCCGCTTACAATTTGCAGCTTCACCACCTTCCCACCAACATTGACAGTTCGGAACCTCTGCATTCATTCACAAGGCACCAACAGCAGCTACAATACTAAACAAACAAAGGAAAAGCACAAAGCAGTTCCCCGCCGCCTCCTTGCAACCCTAAGCGACAGCATCCTCTGCAATCCATCTGTGCGAGCCCAAGTCCCATCAGCTACTGTCCGGTTAGCGTACGAAATCGACGCCAATAGTAGTAATATAGCTCTCGGTGAAGGCATCATCCTGGAAGCGGACACACAAATGAGTCTCCTTTCATGCTCAGCTCCAAGGTCTAAGCAAGACCTTACGACGAATACGAGCTCATACGCTGACAAATACGCTCTCACCGAAAAACGAAGGAGGAGGCACGATTTTCCTACGCCGGAATCACCAATCAACACCAACTTGAAGAGGTAGTCGCTGCACGTAACCCGCCACTGATGGCAAAAGCCTAGTCCCCGGCCCTGACCTTGCTTGAGATCTACGCGGAATAAGTTCAACGAAACGGAAATGGCACAGTGTATTCTGAATTCACTTACTAGTCTCGGGGCCGCGTAGCCATCTTGGAGAAGAAAAAGAGACGGGGAAAGTGTGACAAACTTTAACAGGCACCCGTGCCCTGACGTGCGTATGCTTTCTAAAATGCACTCAGACTGGCGCCAAGGGGATGTTCCGCGATCTGGGCAACCACTATAGTCACTGGCAGGTTCGTTTGGCCTGCCGTGCGACAGCGCGAAGCCCACTGCAAGGTGCCCGTTGTGGCAGGAGCAAGTTGGCTCGGGCCAGCTGATGTCCCTCCGGTTGTGCAGCCTTAACCTAGAATAGGGTTCTTGAATGATTGATGTTCAGCGGGTTCTCCAAAGCCCCTCTGCGTTAGCGCCAGTGGCGAGACGACAGCGGTAGGGTCCTATATTCACTTTCTCAATCATGTGGACTTATTTCTGCGACGTCGACGAGGACATGAAGAGGTTCCTGCCTCAAGCCAGAGAGTGTTGCTAACTGCAGATGCGGCACCGCAGGCAGTCTCGTTTGCTGACTGCCAGCGAAGACCGTGGTGCCGCGATCCAAGAGAGGAGCGGCGAGTCACGTTAATTCCTTATATTCTTAGACAGCTGTGACACTTCCTTCCTCTGAACAACGAGCGATTTCTGTGTACTCTGTGCATGCGCCGGCACAAGACTGTGGCGTCCTCCAGCCACTACTGTGCCCACGCGTAGCGCTTGAACCAGACATGCATATGAAATGGTCCTTTTGGTAAGCATCAGTCACTTGCTGATTACAACTTCAAAATATTTTCTAGCATGAGTCGATCCACTAGAAACTGTGTACATGGCTAGGCGCCAGCTTCCTTCCTTGATCACCCTAGTGCTCTCAGCTGCTCCGACTAAAGGAGCTCCAGCAGCATGTCGGCTGGATAGCAGCACACAGAGAACTGATGAATAGGTTCTCATCTTGCACATACAAGCCATCGTTACACTCAAAAGATGTGCTCTGATATAGTGATTGAAGGGAAAACTCATGGCTTCATCCCACTAGACGAGAAAAAAGGCGGCCGCCAGTGTCGGCGGAACAGAAATAGTTCCCGTTCAACCATATTCATCCGCTTGATTACGTTTCGTAATTCTAAAGTCTCTGCACCAATACTACCATGCAATTCGAATTTGCTACTGAATGCGTACAGAACACGAAACGCATTCCTCCCGCGACGTGTTGTACTTGAACACTACAGTAAATTTCCGTGGGACATAGGCAGTACAGCCTTACACACGACTACTTAGACATTAAGCTTTTTCATCATATGCATTAGCCCTGCCACTAGTGGCCTATATCTGGGTGACTACACAAACAACTCCGGTGGCAATGCTCCCAGAAGAACCATTCTTGCAAAAATCGCCAGCAACCATGCACCGCCACTCGTCCACTTTCGGAAGCGACAATCCCGTGGCACCCCCTTGCACGAATCGACAGCCAGAATCCTTCTCAAGTGCAGCTAACCATATCCTCAGATCACTTGGCATGCCGCAAGCAGACTCATTGCTATTGACCTCAACTAGACTGCCTAAACTAGAAGCATACGGAGTCCACGAAACGAAGCCAGTGGCGAGTCGGGATCCCCACTTATCCCTAAGAGGGAAAAGGGGGGCCGTCAACGGAACAGCAACAAATACACAAGCCGCCACGGCATACGCGTAACTGAATCGTCTTGACCCTGACTAAATTAACTACACCACGATACCCGTACAGATAAAGCTGGACTTCTAGACTGCTACCAAAGGAGAAAGTGCTCCTTGGCACAAAAGGGGCTCCCGTTTCAAGTACGCTTTTCACGCAGATAGCATGCGCGATCCCTCCAACCATATCCAAAGTCCTTTCAATTAACTAACGCTCCTTCAATCACTAATAAACATTAGAGACAGCATAAATAATTTCGCCGTCTCCGGCATTCGTGCCGCCTGGTGACGCTCTATGCCGTACAACAGCCCTTGTTGTATGCATGCGCTCGAGTACCTGAGTGGCCAGGCCGGCCCCACAGGAGCACTCGCGTCTACACAGAAGCTGCATAGAATCGCACTTTCTTCTCCCGCAGGGAGCGGAAAACACCACATCTCCCTCCATCGCGTGGTCACTATATAGGCAACTGTCGCTGTGGTCTCGTGACAGTTGCTTCCTCACCAACTTCCACCGGGCCACCAAAATTTGGTGCATCCCTATCTACCGTAGTCTGTAAAACTGGGTGTTACTAATAGGCTTTAGGGTGTGGCGGTTTTGAAACTCGTAGGATATTTTGATATCCAAATCCCTTGGGTTCTTCTTGTTCTTCTTGACGGCGATCAAGCCCTTTACCGTATCTCCTACCTCGCCGACAAGCACATGTTCCATGTAGAACACGGTCTGCTTCCAGTGCGTGTAGCGGTTGTGCGGAGATGTGCTCAAAATTACAGGCTTATGACACTTGCTGAACACGACGTCAAACCACGCGACCTAAATTCACAACAAGTGTACCGAATAGCCTCCAGTTTCGTTGTAAGCAGCCCACGAAAAACTGCGAAAAAGCCCGTTGCACCCCCGGCTACTGCGTCAATGAAAAGCCAAAAGCACAGACACCACGTGCAGATTTCCCAAAACAGCCACTGAAAACATGACAAAACAACCTACGAAAGCGTGAAGGAAGTCTTTGCGGCGCAGCTGTATACTGTATGCAGCACAGAAGTCCAAGTCCTCAGGCTTGCACGTTGCGAGGTCAATCTCCTGCGGGGACAAAGGAACCTGCTTGACGAACGCCAATGAGGCATCACAATATTCCGCCATCTCCGAAATCAACCGGCCTTCAAAGACAAAAACGTAGTCGGCTTATTCCTCACCAGTACGCAACATGACGTTGTCGCAACTGCGCCTTCATCCACAGTGTCAACAATGGGCTCCTCCATGATGCAGGTCTTGACACAAGAGAAGTCAAGGCCGTACACATTGTCCCAGTACCCGACCTTTTCTTCCTACACCAAAAGCCATAACGGCAAAGCGTACAATGATCGCTTTATTCTGACTCAATACTGATATCCGTCCGCTTACGTTCTGCTCCATAGCAATCTCTGCTCACTTTGTAGTCAGCATCCTCGATGGCTGCAAGGTAGAGGTGGGCTCTGTCCGGAAACATCAGTCCGTCCTCCGCTAACCACTTATCTCTGCAGAAGATGACTGTATCCAGCATGCTCTCGTAGAGAAGAAAGTAGCCCATCCACTCGGAGACAATAATATCTACTTTCTCCACCGGCAGTTCAATTTCCTCCGCCTTCCCCTCCACAAATGTCACACGATCTTCCAGTCCATTAGCTGCCGCCACTTTGCGGGCTATGCGCACTATTTCTGAACACTCAATACCATAAACATGTTTAGCCCCGGCGCGGGCTGCGAAAAGTGATAAAATTCCCGTCCCACTGCCCACGTCCAGCACTACCTTTCCCCTGAATAAGTGCTGGTTGTCCATGATGGCCCGCTGATAGCTGCCTGCAGAAGGAGCAAACAAGAAACAAGGGAAGTTGTTAGCGCGAAAAAGAGCCACCGGTGTTTTACTTATTTTTATGGCTCAGCAGGACATTCACTATGACGCAGCCTACTAGAAAAAAAAGTTTACCAGAACCTATTTTACCCACGCAGGGATGAAGATGAACGGACCACAGCTAACTAGCGAATATTCCGCAGGATGCTTCTATATGCTCAAAAATTCAAAGAAATACGCCCTATTTCAGCTCACACGTGCGGACAGAATCCTTAATCATTTCTTCATGAATACTGAAGTGGGCATAAGAGTTAAAATAGTAATCGGCAGATGAGATATCGTCTTGCTGCAGCTGCTTCCAGTCTGCACTGAAGGCTGCCTTCTCCTCAGGTGAAAGCTTCTGACACTGAAGCGACTGCGCATAAGCAGGACGCCCTCCACGCCCTCCACGTACGGATCCATTCCCAGTCTGCGAGCCGCCGTTATTTGCGCTGATGCCATTTCCCTTGGCATGGGACGGCAATGCGCCCTTTTGGTGATTCTGGCCGGACTCCATTTGGGCGAGAATGGACACAGAAGCGGCCTTAACAGACCTCAAGTCGACAGAAGCCTGCGCACTAGACATACATACGGCTTTAATTGGAACGAATGAGTGACACGAATTCACTGACCTGACGAAGTGCCTAAGTTCTGTAGTGCAACAAATGAGGGCCACAGCCTCTGGAGGCGGAGGCAGCCCCGCTACGATACCTATCGTGTTTCAGGGTACTAGAGAGCACAGTGACCCCGCGCACTTAGAAGGAATCTGTATAACTTGCAATGTAGCTTATCACGTATTAATTCTGCGATGGCGGCAGTGGTCAGCGTGGCCAGCTCTTGGATAGGTCATGCATAGTTTCAACGTAACCGTAATGTATTGACAGCATACCGTGGAAAACGTCCAAATAATATGAGCGATGTGTCAAGGAATTCGCACGAGAAGCAGACACGGTCTCCAACAGCAACAGCAACAACAGCAATTCACTGAGGCCCCATAGCCCGAGCGAAGCACGGCGCGGCTACACTGCGAAACTGCAGAGCCAGCAACTACTCTGATGTGGTACGCCAACGGCACCGGCACAACGCGCTTTTTTTCTATGGAAGGAATTCTATGAGAAAGCTGATGGCCCACATGGCTAAGACGAAACTCCAGCATGCGGCCTCAGCCCCACACCTCGCTACCACCACTACCTTCTAACAGAAGCTTTTAGTTATCTATAGGACCTAGAAGAATGCATTTGGGATGCAACGTCAATGATATTGCAGATGGTTTATCATCTGTTTCTTGGCACAATTGTTTTATACCCGCTTTCGCAGCTGATTTACGAGTGCCCCTGTGTTCTTGCTTGTATAGCCTGTATCGCTATCCGCGCGCATCGCCCACGGAAGATTTACGCAATTAACTCATCCCCAAGCGCGATCAATTGTCACTTAACATCGTGGACTTGCGTTCGCACCTCTCTGCTCTCCCCTATCATCTTGGGCCGTTGACATTAGGATTTCGGCCAATGCTCATTAGTTCAGTTTGAGGTAACGCTCATGTTTGGCACGGAGCTGTCCGTAAATGATAACCCGTCCAACTTATTGGCGCTCCTTGCCCCACACTCGCAGCCCCAGTGCTTGTGGTACTTGGGACGCCAGGCCTTGTGTTGCTCTCCGTCGCCTCACGCGATTATAAACTTCTCCGTAACTGTACCATGTTTGCGACACGGAACAATCATACAGCTGTGTTGTAGCGCGTTTCAGCTATTGCGGAGACGTCTGAATATCACCTTCACTACACCTAAGGAGATCCTCCACCATGTCGTGAGTGACTGGATGCTCTATTTCCCCCAAACACCCTGGTTGCAAATTGTGACCAGTGTGTGAGGGCAGGAGTTCTGCCTTTGTTGGGCTCACAATAAGAGTGCTACATTGTCAGTGCAGAGGCGCTACAAGCGCATGAGGCGGCTCTAAACGTACTGCACAGAAACTCCATTACAAATGGTCGTCTGTGGCACTTCTACGACAGAACTGGTATTGGGCTCTTTAGCTCGTTGTCAATTGATGCCTCTTACCAAAGCAAGGATGTAGAGCAAGTCGTGCTGTGACTATGAGGGCGCCTGACGAAAACGATTAAGTAGGATGAACAAAATTTTTCCTAGCAACTGCGTTGAGCTTGCGAAAGCATGTTGCCGGAGTCCCGCTCATTTAGCGGAAACGACAAAAAAAAACCCAGCGCATAGCAGATGAATTACATCGACATTCCAGTCGTTCACGGTAGCAAAAGCACTTTGGGATAGAAGCTACGACGAGAATACTACTTTTGTGCATAGTCGCCTCGTACCATCGAACAAACGTTGAGGAGAAATCGCACCTGTTAAGAAGCTCTAAGCATCAGCAAAATGCTTCTACAAGGCAATAGCGACCGGCGGGAGTACCTGTAGGCATCTTCTTGTGCGCTTAAGGGGTCTCACCGCCGCCAGCTTGCGCATCATCATGACCCTTCGTCTTCACTGCTGTCGGCATCGAAGACTGCCTGAGTCGCAAAAGCAGTGGTCCGACGGCGGCGCCTGGCATTAATGCGCCTCTGTTTCAAGTCAACAGATATTCCCTTCTGCAGCGTACAGTGAAAGACTGATGAAGAGCGAAAACGGCCTGACCCGAAACTACCACTTGTGGCAGTTTCAGGACAGAGAGGCCGATTAGCAACAGGCCACGAATCTGTCTTGGCAAACCAGTATTACGCTTGTGTGAGTCTGGTAAGAAGGGCTAGCACCCCTCACTTTGAACAACCCCAAGCTGTCTATGCTCGGTCCCTCAAGCAACACATTTCCCAGGAGTTCCTCATGCTCCGCTGCACTGTCGATCTCGTCTGTGATGTCTTCCGCGCTCGGAAGTCCTACAACCTGCACTGGGGGGGAAGCTGGCCCAGATACACCTGCAGCTGCTGCTCCAGTGTCTGTTGCTGCTCGTGTGTGACCTTCCTGCAGCCCTGTTTCGATTGAGCTCTCTGTTGTTTGCTGACGAAGTAGGCGCAGCAGCTCGACTTGCTGCAAACGACAGCAAAAATGACATGACGTACTGTTTCCGCACAGAGCATAGAGTAGGGTCAACAGTAAAACTGCCAAGAGGCTGCATCTGCTCAACACCTTGCTCGGTTGCAATACGTGGATCGCTTGGAGTATCCTTTGCCGGCGTCGGCTTTTGTAGTGGCACTTTATGGGCGGGAATAACACTAGCAAGTAAAGCTGCAGCAGTGACTGGCAAGCAGCCGCTTTTCCCAGCCAAGACTTACTGCTACGTTTGCCCATGGGTCAGGAAGACCCCACAGCTTGCAGAGGTGGGGTGAGGGGACGAATACACAGCTCTTTCGATAAGAACGAAGCAACGGGAGCATCGTCCGGAACTCCACGCTTCCCTTTTGGGCGGCTACTTTGCTTGTTGTAATGTGCTGCGCAGCGGGTTCGCTCTCTTCAAGAGGACGGACGGCCTCTGTGGTGGCAGGAGTGTCTGTGATGTTGTGCTGCGTCAATATGCCGAGACGAGCTAGCGAGTCTCGCTGAAGCTCCCTGTAAGCGGCTTCTTGCTCCCGCAGCAATTGCCTCTGTTCCACGATCCGCTGGTAGGCAGCCGCAAAGACTGATGCCTCAGCAGGCCCTTTGCATATCCGCGCAACCCCTTCGGAGTCACCGGAAATCCTCCGGAAATTCTTGGCACACTCCGCGAGCCCTTGTACTTGCGTCTTCTTCTCTTGTATGTTTCCCCCAACTGGGGCCACGCGGCCTCCGCGTGGTTGGGGCATTACTGTCTCGGGGGGCGCACCCGCATTGATGGCAGCGACAGCCTTAAGAGCAGCAACGACGGCGTCATTTGTGTTCTGCCCTGAATTAGTGCTGTCAGCTGACTGTGTAGTCAGCAGGTCAGCCGCATAATCCCCCAAAGGAGCGACTTCACCTGCTGCGCCTACAGCACAACCAGGGTAAACATCAGCGTCGTCTGTTACTGAAACCGTTGCCCAGATGACAGTTTCACGAGCAGTTAGTGCTGCGAGTGCCAAAGGCTGTCGTCTTTTGTGAGTTTTCGACGCCAATGGCTCACCAGCTGTCGTCTCTACTGTATTGGTGCCGAGATTTGTTGTAAAACCTGATTTGAGTGACTCGGCAGTGGCTCCCACTGCTGCGCTTATCAATGAATTTGTGCAAGCCTGCGCAGAGGAGACGCTAGTTCGCTGACCGAGTTCTTCATTGTTGGCTTCAGTGTCCTGCAGCCCAGCGCATCACCCAACCAAACCAGCATTTCCCAGTGTATCTTGGAATAGTATGCTGTGCAGCTTTGCACTTTGATTCGCTCCTCCGTACGAAGGGCTGTTGGTGGCTTTCGTAGGTCCGTCGATAGGGACTCTGGAGTAGAGACTGTAGACAGCTAAAATCACGTTAACGTGAAGCGCCTGTTGTTGGGACGTGAATCTATTCACTCGATTCAATCGCCTTTTCTCACGGGAAGAGCTGAGACACACCCGCAGTTTCGTGTAAATTTCAAACCGCGCCTGCGTTTTGGGATCGGCGACAAAGGGCAGCTGAAGGCAGTTGAGGCGGTGGCGCATCTGTAGGATTTGGTGTTGTACTCTCTGTTGCTGATTTCGGCGCAAAAGCTGTTCTTGGTGCTGCAGGAGCCAAATGGGTTGCCGAGCAGCAGCTGCTGCGGCCTCCTCATCTCCTTCCTTTACCCACTGAAGTTTCCTCCCCCCGACCTGCTCCAAGAGAGACAAACGACTGCTGGGCGTGCCAGCTGCCCACAGCGGCTGCATGCGAGATGCAGAGCTCACTTCTGAACCCTCTGGCTCTGTGCTGTCCGGCGGTGTAGTTCCCTTCACAGCTCTGAGCACACCAAAACTACTGCTGGAGAAGCCGCGGCCCCTTTTCTCCTTTGCTTCTTGATGAGTGCTGCCTAGTGACTGCATTACTTCACGCCTATCTTCTTCATCCGCCAACAGCTCAACACTATCCGAGAGGCACTTGGTTTCCTCAGTCTCTGTCGTCGTGTGCATTCCGTTAAAGCCTACAGGTACTGGCGGTAGAGCCAAACTGTACGCAATCGCAGTGAAATCATCTACCCGACAGAGATGCCGGCCCATAAAATCGCATACTCTTGCATGCCTCTGAAACCTTACTTGAAGTGCGACAGTCACCCGTCTGTCACAGCTGCAAATAGGGATAAAGCTGAGTACACGGCTGCGGAAAAGCTATGGGAACGCTCACTCGCAAAAGGTCTCAAATGCCCATTCTCTGTTGTCAACGAGGTCATGAGGTGGTATGATATCCTCCGTCCGTTCCTCTCCACTGTCTTGTGCTTGACTCTGTCCGTCATCTGAAACAACCACTATGCCTTCGGCCTCCACAGCCCTGGCCAGCTGCAGCCGCCCTTCCTCTTTCAGGCATGCCGTTCTGCTTGCCCGACAAGCAAGGTCATGAGCCAGAGTGCCCGTCCTTGACTCAGTGGCACCCCCAAAATCATACAAGCTACTATTTGGGGCAGTGCTGCTGTAGATTTCTTCGCCTCCCTCGTCGTCATCGAGGGCATAATTGCGCAAGCCAGTGAGTGGCTCGCGCACATTCACCTCAAGCACTTGCCCAGACTCCTTCATCCTCTGTTCCGCTACCTGTGCTCCGCTGCTGCTAATACTGCGGCTGCTGCCATACTTTGCGTGTACGTTGGTAGCGGCTTGTGAAAGTTGACTGATTAGCTGGGCACGGTCAGCTTCCTTTTGCTGAAACCCTAGTCCAAGCCTGAGAGGCCCCAAGGGCTGCAGCCGCAGAAGGCTCTGTGCCGCAGCCCACCCCCACTCCTCCCCTTCTGCAGCCGCCGCGGTGGCCTCAGCCGCAAGCAGCTGAGGTAAGGCTTCTGCTGGCTTCTCCTGTGAAGGCACACACATCTCTTCGCCCACCATATCCTTTTCACTGCCGCTAGCACCTTGAGCTCCATTCCCACCCTCCAAGGCTTGCTTTTCAATACCTTTCGGCCGCATCATTTGTCTAACTGCCTCAACGTGGGGAGGCAGCTGGGGGCCCATACTCTTTGTTTCTGGTTGTGACTTTTCCAGATCGCATGGGGGGATACCGTGATCCCTGCCGTCTGCTCCAAAGCTTTTCACTAGAGATCGCGCCCATTGGTAGCGACGCATTGACTGCAGGCACCACTGGGGTTGAAACGGGAATTCAGCGTGACCTGCAGAATTGAAAGGAAACTCAGCTTCTAATGACATTTGTCGGAGGCATCTAAGGTCCCTAGAATGACGGATTCTGTAGAATCCACGCTATTGACAGTGAGATCAAGCCATGCTTTCGCTTCACCTCCGCTTGCGTGTCTTTTTCTGCGCTTCTATTCGTCTAGCTGTCTTGCTGTTCCAAGTTTCGCAGCCACGTCTATACGCCGCTAGCCACTTCTGGCCTACCTGTGCCTACGAAGACAGGCAGGCCCTCTCTTGGCGACTCAACCCGCGACCACCGCAGTACGTGTTCTCTCCCCCACTTTGAAGATGACGCTGTTTCTGCTCCGCTCTCCCACTCGTCATGCCGGCGTTGCAGCTGCCCAGAATTCCAAGCCTTGCGCGCTCCTCGGGCCGCTTGCTGCAGGTGCCAGAACAGCAAGGCATACCGTTCATACCGTGGATGGCGGCTGCAGTACCTTGGGCAGCGTCCACTGCAACGTCACAAGCCTAGTTTCACAACCGTCACAAAGACGGTAATGCTGGGATATGCGCCAACGCTTTAAACTTGAGTCACTACGCACGGCTGCTGCAGCACCTACTGTAGACAAGCGTGACAGGAAAATGTACAAGCCCCTCGATGAGTCGCGTTGAAGGCATGAACAATTCTGTCCGTACCTCCATATCTTCCTTGTCCATGAAGTCCTCAGGTCGAGAGACTCTATGGGCTGCGCGCGACGAACGTGAAGAAGTGAAATCGGAGCATGTAAAGCCTGAGTTGGGCAGGCAAGCAAATGTAGAGTAAGGTATAGCTACAAAAAAATGCTGAGCATACACCGCCACCACGACAATGGTGTTGGAGAGACGGGAAGCCAGTGCGGAACAACCCAGCTGTTAATAATTGCAGCACGAAATGTTGTGGGGAGCCCACATGGCGCTTGAGAGACAGTATCCATGAATGGTATAGGCAAAGGGGAGTGGCATTGGCTCACCTTCAGAGTTATCATCTTGGAAGTGCGCTGTATTCGAAGTGCCACGAACCCAACCACCAAAGGGCGCGCGGCCAGAGCCCTTTAAGGCTGCCTGTTGCAACTGCCTTTGCAGCTCGTCTTCGTCATTCAATGTTTGTCCGTCCCAAAAATACCGAGCCGCCAGGCTTTTAGAAAGCGCTGCCTCGTGATAGCGCTGCGCCACTTCTTTCGCTGCTTCGGCCGCCACAGCTTCCCTCTCTGCTGCTTCATGAGCCGCTGCAGCAGCTTCCATAAGGGATTTTTCGCCCAAACCTATCCGGGCCGCTTCTTCTGCATCTGCGGCGCGCTTGTGTTGTGCCTCTGCCGCCGCCCGAGCATTTCTTGCAGCTTTGTCCGCCTTCACAAGCGCTCCTCTGGCGCGGCGGGCTTCTGTTTTTGCTGCTCGTGCGGCGGCTTCGAGAAGCAGACGGGGAGGTAAACTTGTGTGACCATCATGTCTCAGCCAGGGCTGCTCCCTGTAAAGCTGTTCCTCTAGCTCATCAAGAGACAGCGGACATATGGGCGTTCCCAGGAATGTCCATTCCGACGTCAGCGCAGTCTGCTCACCCTTACTCGACGGGTATAGAACCGTATCTGCCATGATTTCACGGAGCACGGTTTGCAGGTATGAAGAACATGCTTCACATTCCAGCGTAAGATATGTGTGCGGATGCGCGCACCATCATGCTGAAGAACCTAATACTACAGAGGACACTTATGCTATCTTATGCGCGCCACAGGCTTATGACTTTCGTGTTTCAGGCTTGCGGTCGGGCTAGCACCGAGGCCAGGGGGAACCCCTGTAAAAAGCATGTTTCTGGAGACTGCTCGTGGCGTCGGCCTGTAAAATGTCGTTCTTCGAGCTCTTCAAACAGCTTCTATATGTAATTGAGAACGGGACATCGGGTTAAAGAGAAGTCGCTCGCCTCAAGAAATGGAGTAGCCACACGGCGGGGGCTGTCTTCGAGTTGGAGGCGTTTTTGGAGACCACTTGTTTTCTGTAAAAATACATCTCACTTTATAATAATTGACCTTTCTACATCAGCTCGCGTCTCCAGAATGGAGGACGATCCCCTCTATTGGTGTGGCCTAGGGGGCCTCCGTGGGGCCCCGCAAAGTTACGGGCCCTCCAAGCGGTGAGGCGGAAAACAGGTTAAAGCGTGTTGGCTTTCACTTAAATGTTATGCTATAAGTTTTGCTGAAATATCGAATGTTGGGTGGAGCACTCATGGGCGCTCGCTGCGCTTACGGCGTACAGCCGACGGTCTGAAGTGGATACCATCTCCGCTCAAAGTCAGCATTGACCCAGTTACTGGGGCTACTTCCTGTAGATCCAGGAGCTCAGGAGAAGGGGTACGCTTAAGCTGCCCAATGGAATGTGGCCATTTAGGACAGATGGGGTCCTGCCAGAGCTTCTTGCTTGTCTGCTGAAACGTTGGGAGTGTTGAAAACGCTAACGGTGTCGCAAGTTGGCCCATGAATTGAGGCTTGCAGCTGCGCCTCTTGTTCTTGGACACAATGGATTCATTACTGAGCCTAGATGCCCGTTGGACGGCAGAAGTTAGTGAAGGAGGCTGCAAGAGAGAAGACAAGGACAGAGATGTGGCCAACGGACGCGAAGGTGGTGCTCTTGAGCCGCCCTGCACTCGCATTTACAGGCTGCTGCAGCAGATAGTACGTCCGGAGTGGCACAGCATACCGGATCCCACATCTCCGAAGTGGCTGGAAGAATTTCAAAGTCGTGTGGAGGCAAAGGAACCCCTGGTCAAGCGCCCATCCAACCCACCTTCAGCTGGAGCAGCTGCTGCTGCTGGCAAAGATGTGCAGCAGGACCCACTGCCTTCTCAGGAAGACCCTGAAACAGATGCTGAGGCTACAGCATTCGAGAGCTTCTCCACCGAGGAGGAGTTTCTCCTCCTCAGCAAAATCACAAGTCGACTAGTAAGAACACATGCTCACGAATGCGCACTACATATATTACATGCAAGCGCAAGTGTACGTGCATAAAATAACACGCACAGGTGCATATGTATGCACAGCCCTTTTCAGTTTTCGAAGCTACTACAATGGGCGCTACTGACTGCACTCTTTACTCCTGTGGCATCATTGGTGTGAGGTGGCATCCTTTTCTGCTCAGGATACGCCATGGGTGCAAGCCCTCAGACGCCTGCGGGCAATAGAAGAGTGCGAGGCCTCAAGACCTTTAGAACTAAATGAAGTGATAAATTATGCTAAGAGGTGCGGGGTAGCTGGAAGCTAGAGGGGAAATTCTTATACAACTTGAAATGAAGACGTAGTATGGCTCAGGAAACAGTTCCAGTCTATATCTGCGTTTCGCACTGCGCTTTCTGCTGCTGCAGAATTGCAGGCTCGGTAGCGGCTCCCCCGGAAACCACCAACATTGTTGACGTAGTTGCCCATCAGACGGCGTTTCCCAATTACCACTTCTTGCCTTACCCCTCGATGGAAGAGTTGCAAAACTCGCGGCTAGCGGCTCTGGGCACGAAGCCATACGCTGAAATATGTTTTCCACCAGATGTCGCTGCCAAGTTGGTCTACCTGCAGCGTGATGCTGCATTCTCTGTTTTAGAAACGCCTCAAGGCGTGGTTTCTACGTATGATACTACACTGCTTTCTAGTGACATGTGGCAAGATGAAAAGGGCAAGGAGGTTTTCTATGAGTTGCGCTTCACCTCGGCCACCCCTTGCTGCACCTTTTGGTTTGCTGTAGCAAATGGGCAGTGGCCAGCATCACAGCCACTACCCCGCGGCTGCCCTGTGCGGCAGCTGCCCTCGCTGAGGCCGCTTCTAGTGCCCGGCCCATTTCCCAAGACGGTCCGCGTACAGTGCAGAAAGCAGGGCAAGAAACACTCACGCATTACGCAGACGTGCCTCAAGCTTAAGGGTGCAGCAGCGAATCGGGCCAGCATGGCGCCGCAAGCTACTTCCGGCCAGCGACAGAAGGGCGCAGCAGATCAGCGCCCTGGAGACACCGGCTTGCAGGCGACAAGCGAGGTCAGGAGAGATGCAATTAGCTGCGCTTTTCTCATAATTAACTGGTTTCATCTCCACAGCTCTGAGCTCTTAAGTTTTGACAAATATGGCCGTGTCCCTGTGATGCGGTGCACTCCCTTTGTCTTTGTGGAACGGCCTAGTAAGCGCTGCGCCTAGGAAGACAGCTGTGTGCAACTGATTGGTCGCCGTTGAGTTTCTGCGCAGGAGGCTGGAGTTGGAAGGGATGGGAGGGCTGCAACGCCAGAAGGACAGCCGCAAGCGCCAGACGTCTCCCAGTTCCATGGGCTTATGCTCGGAACGGCGAGGCGGAGAGGGAAGCGAAGCCGAGACGAATGCAGCAGTGACAGTAGTAGCGGAAGTAGTAGTGAAGGAGACTGATTGGAAGGGGATCTGGGTCACCCCAACAACCCCTTGCCTTCGGCGCCTTTACGTCGTAGGAGTTTAAACGCATTGCGATTTTTGGTGACTTGTTTAACTGGGAAGGGTCAATGAGGGTCCTGAACTTCGTCATTGAGGCGATACGTTGATGTCTATACGGTCTCAATAAGCTAGGCGAGAAGCTGCGAAGTTTTCAACTGGTGTGCTCATACAGAGTGTTGAGCTTACTAACCATCGTGAGGAGCCTAGTTATCAAGCTGACTCTACAGCAAGCTAACCAAAAAATTCGCATGTAACAAGCTTCCAAACAAAAAATATTTTCGGACGTGACGCTGCGACAGGACGGGGATGCCTAGGCTGCTGCAGGCCTGATCAATTCATGGTCGCTACCTTGCAGCGTTTGGCGACAAGCATGGCCTGAAGTGCTGTTGATGTCCTGTATGTTTTGTTCTTACCTGCCTTCCGCAGCCAGAGGTGTCGTGGCAGCAGAATACCAGACAGCTTTCTTTCCAGCCACTAGGGCGGCGCGTGTCCTTGAGTCAGTGTGACGATGTCACAACAAAAACAAAAGCT